TTATAATAAATATTAAAATGTCAATTCTATTTTATTTCATTTATTATCATATATTTTAAAGAATGCTATATAAAATTAATATACTTTACAAATATTTATATATTTACACATATACGCACACTACATATTAATACAGAAACTAATTCCTTTCTTGAAAATTATTATTTGTAATTATTTCCATTAATCGATTTCTTTCTATATTTCCTTCTTCTCTCAATTCATTAGTAATAGCTAACGGTTCCATTTCGTGTAGCATGTCAGGTACAACAATAGGGATTTCAATAGCATCATTATTCAATAAACAAATGTTGTGTAATACACAACAACTAACTACATAATATGGAACTAAATCTGTCCTTGTCATTGGTAATTTATCCAATAAATAACGCCATCGTCCTTTCAATAATCCGATTGCTCTTTCTACGGTTATTCGGGCAGATGACAAATAACGATTAAATTCTTTCTGTCTCCTAATTAAATGACCATTATTGTAGAATGGTACCATGACATTTTTTTGTATACTATACGCTGCATCACCTAATAAGTGACTGTCTTCGGGGAAAAATTCTGGAGTACAATATTGCTGCACTCCAGAATAAAGAAACACTCGCATGTCGTGCACACAACCTGGCATTCCAGCAAAGACATGAATGAAAGACAAATTATCTTTACAGATTACCTAGAAAAAAAATATAATTCTTAACAAACAAAATTCGCTCTGTTTCTACATATTGTTCATTCAATTTATATTAATAAAGTTTGTAATATTTATTATCTCTTAAAATTAATATATTTAATAAAAAAAATATTTTTCCTTACTTGTAATTGGATGGAGGATCTGCTTTTTCTATTTATATAACTACTAGCATCTCTTTTTGGCCGGGCAATATTTATATGTGTCCCATCAATGATACCTAGGACTTTCGGAAATCCATATAATGTCTGTATGTTTGTCCATATTGTTTGAGCTTCTTCATAGGTAGGCCATCTGATGAAAAGATTTCGAAGGCCGTACAATGCTCGAACAACTCTTTTGACGCTAAACCACGCAGTTGATCTGGCAACACCAAATCTTTCACATATGGAGCGATAAGAATCTGGTGTTGCCAAAACATAAATAGCTATTAATAACTGTTTTGTTGTATTGATTTGTTCTCTTCCCATGAATGGAAAAGATTCTAATTTGGATCCAATAAAATGCAATAAAAAATAAAAAGTGTTACGCTCCATCCTATAACAAATAATATCACATACATTATTATTAACATGAATGTGTGTTTTATATTAATAATGCTATAATTATAATAAAGTTATATGATTTACCTAAAATGTGATTTAAATTCAATATTTGTATATCTTATAACAACATTTTCCAAATAATTTGTTATTTTTGGTACTATTCTCCTTTCATCTCTATTGTTACCTCTATTATCGAATAAAATATTTTGCAATTCTTCATTATCATCACTGTCTGAAGAAGAGGAACTACTCGAAGATTCAAACATGATGTTTTGGAATATAATATATTCTTCCATAATAATAATCTAATTGCAACACTTGAAATAGGTTATTTATGTTTTTCGTATAACGCAGTGATCCCAGTGGAAGAAACGAAACGCAGCACTGGTAATTTTCAATACTGCCAACTTTATTTTTTCCCAACACCAACCAAACTTATTTTCGAACGCACTCTAAGCCAATGACGTGCGTCTGCTTTGACACGTATGAGCGAGACACCGAGCCCCGCAAATCTATCTATCTATCTCAAGCTCGCTATTTACCAACGTAGTATGGCAGTACACATTCCAATATAACTATAGTTCAGTGGTCTGTATTCATTTCGACAGAAAAATGGCGGATTGTAAAGGTGCGTTATGTTTATTCAGATTTGATTATATGTGTACAAAAGTGTTGTGAAATAATATCGAATAAATATTAGAGATGCTTTGTGTCGTGTAAAATTGTGCAATGTATCGTATATCATTAATATAACACTTTGTTTTTTCGCAAATTTTTTATTTATAACCGTTTGAAGATTGATCAACTAATTGTTTATGATAATGATTTTAATTGTTTATATTTGTGTTGTATTTAGAGAGTACAGAGAAAACCGATCATCCACCACTTGTTCTGAAAGTCGATCCACCTGAGGAGCCACCAAAAGACAATACTGAGGGAGATTCAATGAACAGTAATTCAGCCATGCTAGCTGACTGGAATACACATACTAATAGTTACCTTAAGATATTGATGTTTTATCTTGCTTGAAGAAATATTATAATTGGAGCACTTGATTAATTTTTAGAGCTGCAAGGCGTTATAATATTTTAAAATTCAGTGTTTTGTTTTATAGTAAATTGTGCATTATATATTGATTTTTTCAACTTTACTTTTATTGAAGAAAATTAGACAACTTGAACAATCCAATATATTACTTTCTAGAGCAAAACCTTTATGACTAAAAAATTGTGATCTTTTAAAGGTTAATGCAATAATATATTTAATCACTTAGTAATGTAATAAATTTTAAATTTTACAGATGAATCAGAAAGTCTTGCAGTGGAACCAAATGATCAGAAATCTGAATCTATAGCTAGTAAGCCTCCTAATAAAAAACATTGTAAGTTGTATTATTTGATAAGAAAACACTATTGATGTTTTCTAGTAAGAAAACAGAGAGACACTGTGTCACATAGTTGAACATAGTACATAACTAATGAAACGTCATTGATCTTTGACACATACTAATTCACTCCAATGTAGATTTTTTTATGCTTAACAATAATCTTTATATTTATCACTTTTATCTTAAGTAACTGTAATATATAATGTCTGTAAATATTAAAATGGATTATCTATCTATTATAATTATAATTTAATAAAAAAGTAAACTTTTGTTTTCATATAGTGATAAATTCTATTATGTTGTTAATAACTCATTGATCTATTAAACTTTAAGTAAAAAGAAGATTAAAACAAAAATGGTATTTCAATACTTAATGCTTCTAGCGTAAAAATGTTTAAAATTTTTTTAATTGACGACTATGATTCTGACACAAATATTTTGACTTTATAGGTCTGTTCTTTATAGCTGAACTAGTGCAGCCAGTATTTTCAGCTATAAAAAACAAATCATATATTAACTTTGACTGCACTGTCATTGACTTGTAGCAGCTTATGTCATTACAGAAAAGGATTCATATCAATATTATATCATACTGTCTTGACTATATCTTGGCAGAATGTACCATATAATATGATTTAATATACATATATTTATAGGTTCTGTGTTAGCTGCTTCAAAATTTGGGAATTTATTTGGCGTTAATGAATTCTCAAGTTCTGTACCTAATAAATCAAAGTCATCTATATTAAGGCCGTCGCAATTAAGCGCTGTCACCAATAATTCAACAAGTGTTACTGACAAGTCTGTTTTGCAACCTGCAAAGTTTCACAATCCATTTACAAAAGTTACCAATAATTCTATAGAAGAGGATGAGTCTTTAACAAAAAACAATAAAACTGAAACGAGTAAAGATTCTAAAAGTGAAGAAAAGCCTACAGAAGACACAAAACCAAAATTCTTACCTCTGGGTGCAAGTACAAAAGAGAACGAAAATAATGTAAATAGTACTGTAGCACCTAGTGCTTCTACTCCTAGCTTTGTGTTTGGTCAGAATTTAAAGGAACGTGTCACTGTTTCAAATGATACAGAAAGTTCAGATAATTCTGAGAAAGAAGAGGTGAAAAACGAAGAAAGTAATGAGAATGGATCTTCTGAACTTTTATTTTCAAATGCAGCTACAAATTGTCGTACCACAGTGAGACCAAGTTTAACATTAACTCAGGCGGCACAAGTATTGGAGGAGGCTAATCGTGCAAACAAGAGAAAATATAATCAAGTAACATTATTAACTGGTGAAGAAGGAGAAACAAACATTCTTCAAATTAATTGCAAACTATTTGCATTTGATAAGGTATGTATAAGGTTATATAGAGTTTTGAATTGTGGATAACTTAATTTTTTAAGTATTAATGACACATAAATGCATCATTTCAAAAAGTATGTTCCACCTATAGGATTTTTGTAAAGCACAATATCTGCAAGTTTTTGGAATTACTGAATTCAAATCTCTACTTGTAATTTTTGAACTTAATATATGACAGACTTAATATAATAAATATAAACTTGAAAAATTTTATTTTTACCAAACTTGTAATTTTTAAGATTTTTTTGGCTTTTTAATTCGAATTTGACATCCACATTTTAAAATTGAAAAATATATTTTTGGAAAAAACAAATATTTTTAAATTTTAGATTATACATTTGAGTTAGGTACAATTCTTTAAATATAATCATATTTTATCTTAACTTTATTTTTATTTATAAAATTTTAATTACAAAGTTTACATTTTATTTTGCAAATCAAAGATTTTTAAAACTCCCCTCCTTTGAAAAAGTTTGATATAAAATCTATTATTCAAATTTCTAATTGAATATACGTTTTAAAATTTCAAAATTTTGGCTGCAGATATTAAATTCAGCATCTCTTCAGCATCAAGAAATTCGTCAAATATCTTTATATGTTTTTTTATAACAATTACTTTTAATAATACAATGTTTTTACTTAACAGTTAAACGATTAATATGAATAGTTATAAATGTTATATGAATTAAATTATCGTAATCATCATATCGTTTATTACTGTATTGCAGACCAGTAGTAGTTGGCAGGAAAGAGGGAGAGGTACACTGAGACTTAACGATCGGGACGATGAATCCCGTTTAGTTGGTCGCACTGCTGGAACACAAAGATTAATTCTGAATACGAAAGTGTGGCCTGGTATGACCGCGGAACGGGCTGGACTTAAATCATTAAGGCTAACTGCAATGGATGTTCACGGAGATATTCGAATTTTTATTGTCCAAGCGGCACCTAAAGAAGTCGATCAATTGCACAATCTTCTGTTGCAACGACTTAAACGTGCACAGGAACGCCACCCTAAAAAATTAGCTACAGACCACTGACGACCAATCTGTAATTCTTGCGAAGCGAGTGCTTTCGTTAGCTTTATTTATGCAACATAGAGATCATGTAAGAAGAGCTGGTCCTTTAAAAATACAAGGCTCTATCTATGATGCACACAATAGAATGGCTATGTTTTGTGCTTCCTTCCGAAGCTGCAGTTCTCGGCGATTTGACACCAGTTTAGTGGGAAGAAAACAAGGAAGATTAAGTCACGATGCGTGTGCAAGTTGATTCTCTTGTAAATTGATATTTTTAATCTCTTTCTCGCGAACACAAAATCTTTTTTACAATCATTTCCAATTGATAATTTTTCATTTGAAATTTAATATTTCTTCAATCAGGGTGTCTACCTAGAAATCTTAGAATTCTTTTCTGCCCGAGAAATCAGAAATTCTTAGAAAATTTTATCAAGAAATTTTGTATAAATTATTGAATCCTATATGATTTTGCTTTTATATTATGATTTAAGAGGTTGATCATAATATCAAAGTCTTCCCTCTTTTTCCAGTATGTTTCCAAACTTAATATTTAAAAATTGGATTTTAAGTTATTCTTTATGAATAGGAAGTATTAAGTTTGTACAACGAACAAATTTATTTTAAATTCGAAAATTGATTGAAAGTGCCTGGAAAATAGATTAATTTTTTCTTACGTTTAATTAGTCACCCTGTAAGTAAAGATATATTTGTTATAAAAAGTAGATGGAAATTTTGAACAGAAAAAGGCTATAAAAACCAAAGTGTGGACGTCGGAGTGCAAAATATTATTAATCAATATAAAATTACCAAAACGTTTGGACCCAATTTTAGACCATCATCAGTCTGATAGGATTGTAAACGGTATGATGATAAAATGCGTAAATAACATACAAAATGTTTTGGTAATTCTATATCGGTATCACTACTTCGTATTAATTGATAATACATTTTTTTGCGCCCTGAATCCGCGCTTTGGTTCTTACTTCTTTTTTTCCATTAACTTTTTTTGAACAGTATAACGTAATTTCAATGATACATTAGTCACTATTACATATAATATCAATTATATGTAACAAAATTGCAAAACAAATAGCAATTTACTTTTCGAAATAATTTTTTATATATTTTAGTAAGTTTATGTTTACATTGTGAATCATGCGAGTTTTTGCAGTAAACATTTTTCTTTTTCAAAGGTGATGTATTGCATTAATCAATCATAAATTTGAACAAATAGTTTGCGTTTATATTTTATTATTAAGAAATGCATAAAGATGGCTGGAGAGAAACGTGTTATATTTATGTAGCATGTATTATTGCCGTTACTTGTACTTTAACTTGTATTTAGCAAAAGATTCGTGGAAATGTACAATACGACGGCATTATATAATATTACAATGATATAAATAATAATAATAATGATAATAATAATAATAATAATAATAATAATAATAATAATAATAATAATAATAATAATAATAATAATAATAATATATAATAATTAATAATAATAATAAATAATTATAATGATAATAATAATAATAATGGTGATGATATATTATTATTACAATTAAGAATACGTTGTTTTATTTTAGATGCAAATAAAATCTTCGATTTAATAGCGAAAGAAAATTTCTATTTATACTTTTTTTAATCCTCAGTGTTACAAGAGAATAAGCTATTTTTAAATCTAATTTCTGATTTTGTTTGTCCATATTATAAAGCTCATTTTCTGTGCTCCTTGCGTAAATGGATCGAGGGGAATAAAAATTGTATGTACATTTTGAATAGCGATAAAATATTTTGACGTTTTCTTACATTTATTTACTAATTTTTCAAGAGTGTTATATATGTTGTTTGAAAATTTACTCATTAATGTTATGTGTGTATGTATATGCACGCATGCGCGCGCACGCACACACACGCACGCACGCACACATACACACACACACACACACACGCGCGCGCGCGCGCGCGCATATATGTCGTATACTAATGATGTGTATATATATATATATATATATATATATATATATATATATATATATATATGTCATTTTAAAAGAAGTATTTTTTATCTATAAGGCCCTGACAAAACATGGTATGTAGAATTGCTGAATTCGAATTTCTTATCAAAATTTTTGAATTCAATATATAACATACTTATTGTCAATATAAAAGGCGTAAACTATTCCATTTTAATAAAACATGATTTCTATGAATTTTTACAGTTTTTAAATTCGAATCTGACATTAAGAATTGAAAATTTGGGAGAACATTATTTTCATAAAACACAAAAAGAATAAATTAATATTTTGAAATATTAATTTACACATATTTAACAATTATTTTTGAATTTAATTACATTTTATCTTGGGTACTAATGTGAATTACCAAAGTATTAGGTACTGTAGTTTTTTATTAGTTATTCTTAAATCACAAAGCGCTTACACCTTGATTTTTAAATTAAAAATTCATAAAATTTCCTAAAAAAATTTTATATGAAATCTATTGTTCGAATTTCTTGTTGCTTTATTAAGTTCACGATTCGTAATTTCAATATTTTGACCAGATTTAAATTTATCGTCTCAAGAAATCTTGAATATACAGAGTGTTTCGTAATTCGCGAATCAAGATTATAGCATAAAAATTCTCAAAAAATAAAATAAAGTTCTTTACAATTTTTCTATTTAAGCAATAGTTTTTGAAATAGGATTTAAAACTGGTCAATCAGACTCTAATTAAACAATCTTGGTCCCTGAGCGCGCGTATAATAATATTGTTGATTCACGAATAAGTGACCACTTAACAGAGTTTGATTGATCAATTTTAAACCCTTATATTTCAAAAACTGTTGCTTGGATGGAACAATCATAAAGAACTTTTTTATTTCATTTTTTGAGAATCTGCTGTAATATTTAATGCTATAACATCTTGATTCACGAATAAGATCTTACGCACAATAGAGAAAATATTAGAAATAAATATAAATATTAAATATTAGAAGTAAGAAATTGATATTATTTCATTTCAAAACAAGAAAATGAAATGGATGAATGTATCATGAATTAGGAAATAAGAATTAGAAATAATTAATCCATTCCGTTTCCTTGTTTGAAGTAAAATAATTCCAAATTGCTCTTTCTAATATTTAATATTTATTCTTATTTAATATTTAATATATCCTTAATATTTTCTCTATTGTGCGTAGGGCCTTACAGGACACTCTATACCTATACAATCTTTACGTAAGTTTAATGGTTTGTTTATAGAAATTAATTTTTGTAACGAAGTGTTTTTATTTGTTAACAGTTAGAGTTATAATATTATTATATGTTATTAATAAATTGATAATATTTAGTCTGTATATATGAAATATAAAAAATGTATCACTCATTGGTTACACGAAAATAGAAATGTTCGTATGTGGAAAACTTTTTTTGCATACCGTCTTTACATAATTATATTACATATGAAGATATGTAGTTCATATATTAATGTGGACAATAAATCAAGTTTAACAGAAATATGAAATCATAAATTATTCAAGTTTATTGTCGACTATTTATTTTTAAGATATTTTTTGATTGCTTTTTTCTCGAAATAATTAATATAATTGCTTTTACATAAAGATATAACATGTGTATTATTTTACTTTTTACATTCTACTTATAAATAATACATTGATAATATGTTATTTTACATAAAGTAGAATTTTTTATTTTTTTAAAATTGTAACAAGAAAACAAATTCAGATGATTCTTGATCTCTTTGTTTGAATCGTATAATGGAAACGTGAAGTGCTCGGAACGATACTTATACGATATTCGTGTTGCATTTAAAATAGAAAAAACTATATATAAAAAGAAAAAATTTTCTAATGTTGACGAATGGATACATAATAATATTTCTAATAATAATACTCATCTAAGGAGTCTCTTCAGTAAGAGGCATTAATGCAGAAAACTTTAATAATAAAGCTTTTTATTTTAATAATTATATTTTTATTTATAAATTTAATTTTTTAGAAAAATTATTGAACTTTTCAAAAAGGTATGAATTTGTTTTTAATTGAGCAAATTTTAATAATATTGTGAATAAAGAGATTAATAAATATAATATGCATCCAATTCAATTGTATAGTTGTTAAAAAGATATTGAAAAATGGATAAGATATTATTAAAGAATTTTTAAAAATTTTATTAAATAGATTTTTTTTAATATAACGAATAATTTTTGTATAAATTATTTTTAAATATATTATAAAAAATGTAAAGATATTTAGTAAGAAAATAAAATAAATAAAGTACATATATTTAAAAACATTGGAGTTTGCTTTTTAAAAAAAAATAAAAAAAAAATAGAAGAAATATAATGAGAAAATCTGTAATTATAATTTAAAAAGTGTAATTTAATATATACAATTAAATTATACATATTTTTCATTTCTTTCGATAACAGATCATATCATAACATATTGAGTACTGCTTGTGCACAGTTTACGAAACACCACTATCGGAAGGTATATTATTGTCATTTCCGCATATCGATTTCACCTTCCAGCCTGGAAAATATGTATTTGAGTATAGCTATTACGGAGAGAGAGCTTCGCGATATTTAACACAGTTGGCGTGATGATCGTACTGTGCCGCACGAATGGCGGGCAGCATTCAACAGACGGATATTTATAGACTCGAAGTTTCCTGCAAACCCGCGACGGTCTAGGCGTCAAAATCCAGTTTCTACGTTTATCTCGGTATCCGTCCGATGTTCGTCGAACTCGATTTGACGGATGCGCGATGATGCGATATTACGAACAACCAGTGACGGACGATAATGACGCTACGTATCACTAAGAAAATTACGGGAATTCTAATGTAAGACCGGGACCAGCTGTGCCGCATGCCTGTCGAATCGTTAGATCATTGTCAGTCTTTCGCGACAACATATTCTGCTTAGCTTGATATTGTGCGTTTTTCGGTACCGCACCGTCTTCGTTGCGGCAAGCCGAATTACAAGCCGCCAATCACAACGACGCCAACGACACGATTATCGTCCCTTCAAAAGCGCAAAAGAAGAAAAAAAGAACAAAAGAGAAAGAAAAAAAAGAAAAAACCGCATTTTCGAGCGGCAAGTGATAAGTTGTTTGAAATCAGAAAATGAGTCACAACATTATTCGATCTATAGTTATGCGCACAAGGACTTTATTTAACGCATTGTGTGAAATGTTTTTGGCCCATTTAGTAGTTAAAGTAACGTGAAAGACAAAGAAAGAAAGAGAGAGAGTAAAAAAGGAAAAAGGAAGAAAGAGGAAGATAGAGAGAGGAAGAAAGAGGGGAGAGAAAGAAAGAGGAGAGAGAGAATAGGGGGGACACTCATCCTGAAGAGTGATTATTGTTTGAGAATTGTTTGTCATTATTTTGACTATTTTTGCATGTGTTTGCCAATTTTTATTTAACATTATGATTATCGATGGTGGGCGTATAAAAATTACTGAGTGACATATTCACCTTTTTTTATCATAATAAGCTAAACTTGATAAAATACTGTTTTTTGCATTCGTCTTGGTGATATTAAAGATATTAATATAATTAAAAATATGTATTTTATTTTCTAAAAAAAATGTTCAACGCAATAGAAAAAAATATTAGAAATAAGAATAAATGTTAAATATTAGGAAGAGCAATTTGAAATTATTTTACTTCAAATAAGGAGGTGGAATAAATAAATTATTCCTAATTCTTAATTCTTAATTCATGTGTTAATCATTCTATTTTCTTGTTTTGAAATAAAATAATTCTAATTTCCTATTCCTAATATTTAATATTTATTCGTATTCCTAATATTTTCTCTACTGTGCGTTGGCCAAAACTTGTTCAAATACGTGAAGTTGTAGTAAATACTACGTTTGTCTTTCGCGAAGAAAAAAACTTGGGATTGCAGATGTAATCATAACTCTATGGACGCCGTGGACCGATATACATCAACAGGGTTGGACGTTCAATAATTTATAAGTCTATATCTACGCATTAATAACGCAAATTATATCTAGCATGTCGTTTATAACGTACATAAAATGCATTTATAACGTATAATTTATGGAATACAATTTTGCATTTTTATTAAAATTTTATTAAGTAAATTTGTTTAAATTTTTACCATAAATATGCAAGATAAAAGTATGTTTTTTATTTTAGAGGCAGCATTTTTAATATTTCAAAAATTTCGATAGCTTGTATAGCATATTACACAATTACATTTAATACGTCAAACGTTTGTACTATTGCATTAATTTTATAAAAATACATATTACACTTTTGTGTAGAACAATAAAAAAATGCTCTGTTATAGTAATATATAATAATAATATAATATAAGAATAATAATACAGTATGCACAACAATTAAAGGAACGCTTTAAAACT